AAATAAATATTTTGAAAAATGTAAGCTCAAAGTATACTTGAAAATATTTTTAAAATATATTCAAAATTTTAAGTTTTTATACTACACTAAAAGGGAGAAATCGTTTGCATAAAATGAATGAATATCTTATCAAAATGTATACGCAACCGAAAATAATAAAATACAAGAATTAAATTCAGTACAAAATATACTATGTTTTTTCAGATACTTTAGTAGGAAAAATACTGTTCATTTAAAAAATATTGTTATATATTAACCATTGTTGCTGCTCTTATGTTTGCCTAAATTATTAACCTACAAAAGTAATTATACAGCTGAAGAACTCAGAACAATTACGGAATTTCCAAGAACATAATATAATCCTGTATTTTATGTTTGGTTAAATTTATATTATTATCTGTTTGGGGCATTTTAATGAAATCTGGATTCCGTGAATTGCTGAGCTGGATTTTCTGACAAATTAATGGCTTGGAAACGGAATTTTCCCCAATGGTTCACTGGGTATTACAGTTTTCCACGAATTATTTTCTTTATAACAATCATTCTTTTGTACCATCGGTAATTAGTACAATGATAAAAAGTGACTCCGGTTTTTTTAACGTTCTTAAATACAATATGTTGACTGGTTTTATTTATTTGAACTCCATTTAAACTCCCCCAATTTGAAAATGGTTCATTGTACAGATTATTTTCTTTGAAACCTATAGAAGTTTCTGTGACAATTAAGGATGAATTTGTTTCTTATAGTTTGCCAGAATATATTTCTTCCTGAAGAAGAAGTGTTTCTCAATAGCAATGAAACAGAACAAAATATAAAAATAAATTTTGTGTTTGAAGTTTTTCCTATAATTTTATAATTAACAAATATTTTGCATGCTTTATTTTTTATTTGAAAGAAATTTAATTCACACGAGTTGATCATTACAAAAGTCACGTTTTTGAAAATTTTGACGCATTTTTATCTAATAAAATGGCCTCGGTTTCAAAAGTATTAAGCTAATTGTCAAATTTAGGCCGACTACGAAGTACGACAGCAAAAATTTTATAATTCTCAGCGAAAAAAAAAGTTATTTGCTTTACTTGCACTATTTCAACTAATACTTATATATATTTTTTACAAAGTTGAAAAATCATTATGTACATTGATTTGAAGTAATTTATTTTCTTTAAACAAATACTTGAAGTAGAAAAAAAACTTAATATAAATTCCTCAATTAATATTTTTTGCATATGTTTTAAAAATTAATATCTTAATTTTAAATAAAACAAAAGTAGTTTCTTCCCTAAAATGTTGAAAAGTGAACTTTATACGATCTTTTAACTATCTACTCTCTAACCTTTATCGCCATTATTTTGTGGGATAAAATAAAATATCCAAACATTCCGTAATGTGTTCTAATGCCCAAATATCAAATCAGCAATCAATTTCAAAATCAAATCCTAAACGTTCTTATTTTTAATCAAATAACAACAATACATTCTTATATTCACTGTTTCTTTTTATGGATCACACACACAGATAACTAAGTGAATGCTAACGTAACATATAAATCCTTTATTACGTTTGAATTATTTACAACATCCTTTTTTTTCGTTGAGCTTAAATATTTTACAATGTTTTAAACTTATTTATATTTTAATAGCAGATAATTAAAATCAGATAAATTACAAAAATGTAGCAATCCTAACATTTACCATCATTTAGCTGAGTGTTAATGTACACAAGATAAATTTTTGTTAGATTTTGTGCCAAGCGCAGTCTTTTGAACAAAATCACAAACTTTTAAGGAATATTGCTTAGTAAAAGTATTTAATTTTCAGAAACAATTATTGTGTGTAATTGTCAACCTATTGTCTAACTACCAAGATGATTTAATGGTAAAAAATGTTTGGATCCTAACAACGTAGCCTTAGAAGTCTTATATGTTCATAATAAAGGAGTTTTAGTTGTCTCTAAACCCTGTTTAAAAGAAATATAATATCTATAAAAAACAAGTAATATAAAAAAATAGTTTTTAAGTCAATTCCTACTTAGATCAACAACGAAAAATTTTATTTTAGCTACTTTATATTAAATAGTTACAATTAATATAAATATGTATATACATAGGACAGAATCACAACATTAATTTTTATTAATTATCATTAAAGTATCGTATTGTCTTTTTAATTTCAGTCCATCTGAATGCTTTAACACGTGAGAAAAAAACCTTTTCAAGTTTTGACACAAGTCGCCAAAAGGGTCGCTAAGTCGCCAACGTGGCTGTATTTGTAATTCTTTAAATAATTAGCTTTAATCAATTAATTTTTTATTAATTATAATTAAATTATTGTATTGTCATCTAAAATGATCCTGTATATAAAATTTCAGCTCAATTCAGCGCTTTAAAATGTATTTTAGTAACGATTGAAAATTCCACCAAGATAAATAAATAAATATACAAATGTATAAATAAATAAATATATAGACAGTGTGAGCTAATTGTAGGAATTGAAAAAGAATGAATTTGAAAAAGATATGTAATTGTTAATATATTTAACTAAATGTTCTCGAATGTCTATTTCACTTGTATGGAATGATAAATAAGAAAATTTCAGCATGAGATCTGCTTAGAGAGATTATAATTTTAAAAAATTGCTTTTGAATTTAAAGTTCTTCTTGATGATGTACTCAGCTGAATAAAACTATTTGTCAAGTCAATGTAATTTAATTTTATGAGATATGACACTTTTTTCATGATTCAGCTCATTCTCATTTCAATGATTATTCTAATCGAGTGTCAATGGGCTCAACTCATGTAACGTCATTAGTCACATGATAACGATAACCACGTGCTTTTAGCCAATCAGTGCAAAATCAGATAAGACGTCATAGTCGAGTGACGATAAAAGCAATCATGTGTTTCCAGCTGATCAGTTCATGCACTTCGTTGTTGCTAACTTTTGATCTTTTCAGAAGCTTTTTTTTTAAAAAAAAATACAAATTTATCAACAATAATGTGCATAGGCAGACAAAAAATACATTTTATTTAAAATATATAAGTAAAATAATATTAATTTTTTTTTTTTTTTTTTTACATTTTAAAACCTTAGAAGAAATTTTTTTCTTACAACATTTCAACATTTCTACCCAATTATAAAATTTGAAATAGGTAAATGATCTCACTTCAATTCAACACGATGAGAGAAATTCCAATAAGATCTGGTGGAATAATCTTAAAGATCTTCCCATACGGCCAAGACGTAAAGCAGTTGTCGAGTTTCGTCTGGCTACTGGACACGACTTTCTCCTTAAACATCTTCATCGAATTCATATTGCACAGGCCCCTTTCTGCACGCTCTGCGATATTCGGGGGGACATGGATGCTGACCACTTTCACCGTTGCCCAGCCCTAAAGGGCTCCTCTGTACGAACTTTATTAGCAAGCTAGGGACTTATTCGGTTCATAGACTTTTCCCGCCATGTATTTTCCCTACTTTGTTTATTTTGTCTGTTTTTGTTCCTCCCCCTTGTAGTGTAGTTGTCTTTTGTAGCCTTGGCCATTGGAAAGAAAAAAAAAAGATAAAATTTGAAATTTTACCACAGCCTTACAAATAGAACAACAAGTACAATTAGTTTGATGTCTGCTTTCAATTCAGTGAAGAACACGTGTTACCGTCATGAATTGAGGCCATTATGAATATACTATATATATGTGTGTATACCATAAATAATTTATTATTTCATATGCTTAAAATATACATTCTTATAGATTTATTTTGCATTAAACCAGTTTTTTTTTAATATTTTTATTACTGCATTTTCTTCTTCTCTTTTTGATACTGCATTATTTATCTTCTATTCAGTAACATTGATAAATGAAAAAAAAAAGTGACTTAAGACGGCTTAAACCTGCAATCTTAGCCCTATGCCTGCACCATTTCACTATATTTCTCTTGCTTAATGTAATCACTTTAAAATTAGATAGTTATAAATACAGCAGGATTTCTTTTTAAAGCTGAACCTACTCAGAGTCGCCTGTAGCTCGATCTAACAAAAGAAATGACGCCAAATTTATTATGCAGACGAAAAATGACATAGAAAGCAGGATTCCGTAAAAAAAAATTGCCGATAGGGGTATTTATGGCTCTGTATAATGTAAAAAGTGTTACAAAAAAATAAAGAAAAAAAAAGAATAACAACACATACAAAATAACAGAGAAGTGTTAAGTTTTTTTTTTTTTTTTTCATTTCATTCACTTCAACGGCGAGAAATTCAATCACATTCAATATGATAACTCAGATACTACTTCACAGCGCATTTCCTATGTAACATTTTCTACAGCAGTACACATGTCACGAGGAATATCTCACACTGTCTGAGATATAGTATGCACAGACAATAGTTTCCTGCGATCCGTCGATGATTACAGTTGCAACATCTGTTATAGCCTGGGCGAATTGTCTCAGTGTTTCTGTTTCCTCAATCTTTTCAATCATTCCTTTCAAAGCATTTAGCGATAAAGCTCCCTTATGTAGCTTCTATCGAGCTTTAAGCTGACGAGGAGTTGTGGATGATTAAAATGATAGAGCTTCACCAATAATCCGTATTCTGGTAATGCGAGTCGCATATTCACTTGAGATGGCTCACCTTGGCTGAGAATAAATACTACTAATATATATTTTGTAATATACAAATTATTGGCGTTGTCGCATATGAAAGCATACACATCTGGATTTTTCTTTGATAACAGTGTTTTTCACAATTCCTACTATTAGTTTACTCTCTCTCTCTATATATATATATCTTGTTCAAATATTTGATTGTTAATAAAATACTTTCTATTCATCCATTCGAGTTCAAATGCATTTTTTCAAAACTTGTGGTGGATGACACTTGATGTTAAAAGAGTTTCTTCAAGTATAAATTCATTAATTAGATTAAAAAATGAATAAATAGTAACTCAAACAAAAAAAGAGCAGTCCAACAGCCTATATAGAAAGGAAAATTGTTCGTTGTGTTCCTGTAGCGCAATGGATAGCGAGTTAGATTTCTAATCCGAATATCGTGGATTTGAATTCCACTTGGAATGGCCTAATTTCTGAGAATGTGATTTCTTTTTTACTATACTAAGTTATTAGAATAATTAAATATAATTAATGAATAAATAGTAACAAACAACAATATATAGAAAGAAAAATGGCTTTCTATTTTGTCACTTAATATTGTGATTCATTCATATGTATATGCATATTTATATTAATTGTAACAATTTAATTAACTAAAATAAAAAAAATTTTGTTGTTGTTGACTAGGAATTGACTTAAATTTTTTTTATAATACTTTTTATGCTGATTCTCAGTTTGGTAAGCTACAACAGCGCCATGAACACCCGTATCGATGATTTTTTAAACAATTTTTTTTCCCATGGGATCTTACTTCCCAAGTCTTTATTGGTCTCCATACCTAATTTAGTGCCATTGCAGATGTTAGATCTAACTACAGGAGGCTCTGAATAGTGTCTCTCTATAAGTATACATATATATATATATATATATATATATATATATAATTCCCTCTAGTATCCTTTTTGTTTTAACTCTTTGTACTAATATTTAAACAAACTTTAATTCTTTGATCTAAAAATAACACTGTAATCTTAATCGTAATCGGCTAGTCCGAAATCCCTGTCCCGCCCATTCTATCCAATCAGAACTACTATCAAATAATAATCACGCTCTTGCCACTGCCGCTATAAAAGTAAAAATCTAGTGTAATCTCATTCTTTGTCTTTGTGTTGTCCATCACGATGTCGTTGCTGCTTGTCTCTTGTCCGCGTTGCTTTATAACCGTCGCAAGTTTGTCTCGTTGACGTGAAAATGTACCGTAATTTTGTCTCAAGCTTTTGATGTGTGCGTCGCAGTAAAAAAGATGAACGTCCACTGAAGATGTTGTTTTAATGAAAACTTACTAACACTCGACAAATACCACACTCGGCCAATATGTTACACACACATATATATATACAGAGAGAGAGAGTTTCATATATTTAATTAAATTCTTGCCAAATTCTCCTTTTCAAATGGCACAAACATTGTCCTCGTTTAATGTTCTGGCTCTAAAAAATATATTTCTAAAATATATTTTGTTAATTGTTATTTAAAATGTGATATTTATTAATCACAAATAAACACAACTATTGACAAACGTTATAAATCTGCGATGAAATATACATTCGAATTAAACCATGCGCATATTAATAATTATAATTATAAATATGTCAAAATTATTAATTAATTGCTATTAATAAATAAAACCAAATATAGTTTTAGGAACTAGTAAAACTCCAAAGAAGAACCCATGTAATTTTTTTGTTATCATTTTTCAATAAGGAAACAGGTTTCGCTATTTGAAGGAAACAGTGATTAAATTCCCAAGCGAAATTCCGTGCTTGACCAAAGACCTTCTTCGCAGTGGACAATTGAAAATTAAGAGGATTACGAATGACCACATCGATCACCTCAAAAAGGAATTGTTCTGGCGTTCGAGAAACGAAAAGTTCTAAAGACGAAGGAGAAGAAAAAGGGCGATTAAGAAATTGAAAGGAAACGAATAGTTTTTCAATTTTTGTGTCAAGGTCCAAAGCGAATCGCTTATGAGCTTCATCTTGTTCGGTTTTCCAAATCGTGACAATTTAAACGCGTCAGAGGGAAAGAAATGGAAAACTGTGAGGCGGAGAAATTTATGTTATTCTTAAGTAAGGAATGTTTTAAGAGAACATTTAGATTGTTATTGTGTGTGTGTATTTGATTGAATGGTAGTTGGTTACCTAAAAAAGGATTAAGGTTTGTGCTTGGAAGGAATATAATTTTATAATGTAATAACATGAGTTATTTAAATACATAATGTGTACATATTGCTGCATTTTATCGCAAGTACATTTAGAGGATAAAGAAATAAAGATGGAAATAAAAGTGCTGGAAAAACAGATTTAACAGAACAGATTAAATGTAACAACAAAAATAAAAGCAAATTCTTACATTTTTGTCGCTAAAAGGTTAAATTCAGGATAACCACATGATAAATATAATTACCAGTTCTCCATTGAATTCAAAACTGACATTAGGCATGTACTTGCTGTTCCATTCGTAAAATTTAGATGCAATTCAAATTTGATAAGGATGTTCAAGTATTAAGAATCTTCAAAAAGATTTTAAAATTTTTTTTAAAAAAATTTCTGTTATTAAACGTATACTAATAAATTAAGAGCATTTTGCTTACCTGTGTTATTGTTGATAAATATGTACTTTTCAAAAGAAATTGTATATAAAAAGCAAAATTTGGCAACTAAAGCGCATGAACTGATTGGCTGGAGACATGTGATTAGATTTATCATGTGACTATGACGCCACATGAATTTATCAGCTGATTATCTAGAAACACGTGATTGCCTTTATCCAGCGGCGTAACGTACACCCCCGCATTGCGGGGGGGGCAAAATCATATCTGACTCCAAGTACATACATATATACCCTTTATAACATCCAGCTTGGGGCCCAAAAGCTGAATTTGCAGGGGGCCCTAATCATCTCCGTTACTCTACTGCATTTATCATGTTACCATGACGTCATCTAAATTCAGCCTATTTAATACGAATTTCAGATAAAAATTTTTTCGTGCCAGTTTTTGGCAACCGGAGCAGCTGAGTGGTCATGGTCGGGAGCTCGAGTCTGCTGCAGGCTTGTCTCCGATTCAAGCCCTGATGTTATTAAAAATCTATCATGGGGCAAAGGTGATAAATATTAAATTTGTCCAGGCTCAAAGGTTGTTAAGTAGTGTGCTGGTTCAAGTATCATCCTCGTGTGTTAATCGTTGCTAAGGATTCCGAGGTTCATTGCCAATAATTCTTGAGTTGCTTCTGAGAGTGATGTTAAGAAAGTCGATCAACACATGAACATCTGTAGAAAAAGAAACAACATTTAACTATATGAGTGTGATATTTTACTTATAGGTATTATAACCAAACACTCACGGCAAGTAAATCGATTTTTTTTCAATTACAGTGAAATACGCTTAACGCGAAAACGCTTTCGACGAAATATCGGTTAAAGCGAAATAATACAACGGTCCCGACAAACTACTATGTATTTTCATAACTTTTTTCCCTTAACACAATATGAAAATTGCTTAATACGAAAAGATTTCCCTTCTAGGATTGAATATAATACGGAAAACGCCAGCCGGATTGAACAGTCCTACTGTATCATCGGAAGAATTCGTTGCAGTAGATGAGGATAATGTATATACAGCCTCAATTAAGGCAGAAAAAGACATTTTAAAGTTTGTTCAATGCTCAAAAGATATCCTTGATGTAAAGTCCGACGACAAAAATGAAATGAATGATGCAGCTCCTGTTCCCACGTCATCCGAAATGAGGAACATCGTGAAAAGTATGCGCAGTTATTTATACGCACATTTCAATGGTGATATGAATAACAAAATGGATGACATCGAACGATTTGTTGACATTTGATGCTAAAAAGTCAATGCAAAGAAAAAATATAAAACTATTTTCTAAAAACTCAATAAATGTTCTGTTTTTCAAATAACTTGAAAATTTTGTTTTTAATTTCTTTAAGTTCCTGGAAATACTTTTGTTTTATTGATTTTTGTGAAATTAATGCATATATGTATATCTATGTAAATCAATTAAATTCTAGTAAACTTAACTTAGTAGATTTATATATTTTAGGCAATATCCTTCTACACGAAATTCTTTTAATTCCAAAAAAAAATTCAGTCTCCTAAGTTTTATGTTAAGCAATTTTCACTGCATTTGATTGATTGGGTACGATGTACAAACATGTATTACTAACGTATGTCACAAGAATATTCTTTGGAAAAATTAAATCATTAAAAATATGTTATAAAACAAAATAAATAAGAAAGCTGTAAAACCTTTTTCATCAGTGTTTAACAATTTTTTTTGTCAACTATTAGATCTACAAATTTACAAATATGTTTTTTTTTTGTTTTTGTTTGTTCAGCTGAGAAATCCAAAAAGCTTTTTTTAATTAAATTTGTAGTTCACGCAAAATGAATTTATTAAAAACTTCTTTATCCTCCAAGTCGTATTGTTTAATTTTTCAATTCACCCGTGCGAAGAACGGGTGTACCAACAAGTATATATATATATATATATATATTACTTTGAAATTATTCTCACAAATTATGCTTAAATGACAAATCTCTATGAAAGTTCAAGAAATACAACTGAATAATGTTGGATAATGTTATGAACAAAGCAAAATTTCAAAACCTTTCTTTGAATAGAATATAAATTCAAAGCGTCATATGGCTATTTTTCTTATCCAGTTTATAATCTTTCTTTACTATGCTTGTAAAATAAGATTTAATCTCACGTTTTCCTCATATTAAATACTCCTCATATGACATGATCTACGAACGCGGAATTCTGTGATCCTCATAATTTAGATGAGTTTTTTTAAAAAGATTTCCGAGTAAAAAGAACAAAGGAAGAATATTTTTTATTTATTCTGAAAAGCTTCTTAATTTATTTCCCTAGATGATTTAAATTTTTTTCTTAAATCTTTTGTAACATCTAAGGAACTGAAAAACAAGATTATAAATATATACTTACATCCTTTTTTTTCTTAATATATCTCTTAAATTACACTTATGTAATTCAAACTACGTTTCAAAACACTACATGACTATCTAACGACAAAGTTTCTTAATTAGGTTTCGAACAACAATGATATATAAATTAACCTAACAAATTTGACAGAAGGCTTACATATGATCGAGAAATAACATTATACCTAAGGTTCTTCATTATTTGAACATCAATAATTTCATATTAAAGTATAATCTCTTTAGAGCCACTGTGCATCAAGACGTTCATTGGAAAAAAATGTAAAAAAAAAAAGAAATTCAGTTCTTAAGCAATTAATTAGATATTATATTCTTAAAGTATGTTTATAAAATATCCCAAAAGTTACTAAGAAAAACATCTTAAAAATCTAAAAACAAAATCTGATCAGAAATGAATAGTTAAGAACCTAAGAATAA